ATAGATCACAACCTACTACTTGATAAGACAGAAAAATGTGGGTTAGACAGCATCACTACCAGATGGATTCGTAGCTGGCTGACCGGCCACATTCAGCGTGTGGTCCTCAATGGAACTGCATCTACATGGAGGGAAGTGTGTAGTGGGGTGCCCCAGGGCTCTGTTCTGGGCCCAGTGCTCTTCAACATCGATTTGGATGAGGGGATATATGGGGAACTTATCAAATTTGCAGATGACACCAAGCTGGCAGGAATAGCCAACACTCCAGAAGATAGGCTTAAGATACAGGAGGATCTGGACAGACTTGAACACTGGCGCTATCAAACAAAATGAAATTCAATGGTGAAAAAATTAAGGTTCTACATTTAGGCAAGAAAAACCAAATGCACAGGTATAGTATAGGTGGTACCTGGCTCAATAGTAGTAACTGTGAGAGGGATCTCAGAGTCCTAGTGGACAGTCACTTAAATATGAGCCAGCAGTGTGCTGCAGCTGCCAAAAAAGCAAACACAGTGCTAGGCTGCATTAACAGAGGAATAGAATCAAGATCACGTGAAGTATTAATAGCACTTTACAATGCCTTAGTAAGGCCACACTTGGAATATTGCATCCAGTTTTGGTCACCATGATGTAAAAAAGATGTTGAGACTCTAGAAAGGGTACAGAGAAGAGCAACAAAGGTGATTAGGGGACTAGAGGCTAAAACATATAAGGAACGGAATTGGGTATGTCTAGTTTAATGAAGAGAAGGATGAGGGGGGACATGATAGCAGTGTTCCAATATCTCAGGGGTTGTCACAAAGAAGAGGGAGTCAACCTATTTTCCAAAGCGCCTGAAGGCAGGACAAGAAGCAATGGATAAAAACTAACCAAAGTGAGAAGCAACCTAGAACTAAGAAGAAATTTCCTGAAAGTTAGAACAATTAATCAGTGGAACAACCTGCCTACAGAAGCTGTGAATGCTCCAACCCTGGAAGTTTTTAAGAGACTGGACAGCCATTTGTCTGAAATGGTATAGGGTTTCCTGCCTGAGCAAGGGGTTGGACTAGATAACCTCCAATGTTCCTTCCAACTCTATGATGATGATGATGATGATGATGATGATGAAACTGAGTGATAAATCCTGAGAACAGATAATCTAGTAGAAAAAGGGGTTCTTATAATAATTATAATTATAGTAAACTGACGGGATCATGAAATAGACAAAGTGATAGAAAATGAAAAAGCTAAAGTGCTTTGGGGCTTTAGAATTCAAAGGCTGCTGCATAACACCCCACACTTGACAATTATTGATGAGAAAGATTAAAAAAGTAGACATAGTATTACCTGGAGACAAAGGAATAAAAGAGAAAGAACTGGAGAAAATCACAAAATACAAAGATCTGCAAATAGAAGTAGAACAACTGTGGCAAAAGAAAGCAAAAGTAGCACCAATAGTAATACACACCTTGGGTGTAGTCCCAAAACATCTGGAGCACCACTGGAACAGCATTGGCACTGACAAAACCACTGACAATTGCAAAAGGCAGCTTTACTTTGAACAGCTTACATCCTACAATGATACCTTTAGCACCATCAAACCTCTGTCTATCCTAGGGAAGGATTCCACAGGTGGATAAAAATACCAAATTCAATCTAAACATCTAGCTGACTGTGGGACCAACCATAATAATTCACCATATCAAATATTGCTAGTTATATTGTGTTGAGGTTGTCTGGGGAAATATTTATGAAGCCTTGAAATACAATACATTTTCTTTAAATTAAATTACTGCTAAATACAAACAACTTTCCAAAACAGGAAAACTGCTGGAGGAGCTGCTGATCTCTGAGACTGTAAAGAGGAGGGTGGAGTCACTTACTTCTTCAAGATGCTTCCAATGTCCTAAAAAAGAGAGACGGAAAAATGAAAGGAGCCATTTCTATGCAGTTACATTCTTAAAATTCATAAATGTGTGAAACCAGATACAAACTGACATACAATTAAAAAGTATTTTTTTTCTTTTTAAAAAAATTGGTTTTCTCCCCAGCCGCTCACCTTTTTTAAAGTTTATTTTTACTTCCTTGTTACAAAAATTATACCCCAGTTGAATAATAATAATAATAATAATAATAATAATAATAATAATAATAATAATAATAATAATAATAATAATAAAATAATAATAATAATAATAATAATAATAATAATAATAATAATAATAATAATAATAATAATAATAATAATAATAATAATAATAAAGTTGGAAGGGACCTTGGAGGTCATCGAGTCCAACCCCCTGCTCAGGCAGGAAACCCTATACCATTTCGGACAAATGGCTGTCCAGTCTCTTTTTAAAAACTTCCAGTGTTGGAGCATTCACCACTTCTGGAGGCAGGTTGTTCCACTGATTAATTGAATTCCACACAAGTGTTGGGGTTTCCCTTGCCCTGGAGATTAAGGGGAGGAGACCCCCACAAAGAACACCCACCACATCCCCTACTAGGCGATAGGAACCTTAAGAAGGTATTCTTAAAATGGTGAAGAATAAAGGGATAGTGACCAGCACTTTCAATTCTTGCTTTTCGCATGGACTGCTTTTTCTGAATTGTGTATTTCAACAGTTCATTTAGTGACCCTTTTCCCAGTTACCACCGCACTGAAAAAAGTGACATATGGCCATTTTCCAGTTACCAGCGTTGCAGCATCCCCATGATTGTGTGATCAAAATTCAGCCGCTTGGCAACTGACTCATATTTATGATGGATGCATTGTCCTGGGGTCATGTAATCATGCATTCAGGATCATGAGTGCAGCCAGAATCCTACAAGCACAGAAATGGAAAGATATCGAGAGCATCCTGTTATATTGCATTACTGTCTGCTTTGGAAGCATCACTGCTCCAGCCAGGAAGGCGGTGCAGAGAGTGGTGAGGATGGCAGAAAAGATTATTGGCAGTTCCCTCCCTTCTATCCAGGACATGACGGGATAAAAGCGTTGCTTGAGCAGGGCCCGCAAGATTATCTGGGACACAACACATCCTCTTCATGACCTGTTTTCCCTGTTACCTTCTGGGAGGAGGCTCCGTGGTATCCGAAGCAGAACATCCAGATTCAGTCACAATTTTTTTCCATACGATATCAACCGTGTGAACTTTCAAGCTTCCTCTTTCCGCTATGTATTCAAGATGGACAGTGATTAATATTTATGTGTAAGGGTGGTAGGTATATACATATGTATGTATATAGCATGTTTATATAATATGTGTTATGTATGTATATACTTTTGAGAACAGGCAACAGAATTTCATTTTTTATGTATACCAGTGTGCCCACAGTAAAAATAATGACAATAAAGGTTATCTTATCTTATCTATATATCAATCTCCACAACAGTAGAATGGATGGGAAAAATGATGGAGCTAGAAAAAAAATGACAAAATTGCTTTAATTAGAGAAAAATATATATATTAGTTTCTACTTGGAAACTGCTTCTAGACTTTGTGTTTGAGACAAAAAAAAATTAATACCAAACACTTGATTTTGCTTACTACACTGTTTTTATAGACAGGCTAATACTGATATGTAAAAGTAAAAAGTTGAGATTGTAATTTTATTTTGTATTTTATGGCATTGAAAAAAGTTGGAAGACGATGCTTTTTTTGTCTTTCCCCTTTATCCTACACTTCTTTCCCATTCTTATCCTTCTCCATTTCCCTATTTTCTTTATTTTCATTTGTACTTTTCGCTATTATAATTTCAATAACATTTAGGAAAAAGGAAAGAGTCCAAAACAGGATTCTGTGGTGAGGCTAAAGCAGTCTACTCCACTTCATCATTGGTACACCAGGATACAAAAAAGATGCTGAGGCCCCAGAAAGAATGCAGAGAGGAGCAATAAAGATGATAAGGNGAAAGGGCATCGATTTACTCTCTATAGCACCTGAGGGCAGGACAAGAAGCAAGGGGTGGAAACTCATCAGAAGGAAATCCAACCTAGAAATAAGGAAGAATTTCCTGAAAATGAGAACAATTAATCAGTGGAACGGCCTGCCTCCCCAAGTTGTGGCTGCTCCATCACTGGAGGCTTCCAATAATAGATTGGACAACCATTTCTTCAGGATGGTATAAGGACTCCTGCCTTGGGCAGAGGATTGGACTAGAAGACCTCCAAGGTCCCTTCCAGCCCTGTGATTCTATGATCTCAACTTCCTGCCTGACCTGTAAGAGTTTGCTGGCTGGCTGCTGATGCTTCTCCTCTATCTCCTGGATCAGATCGTCAAGAGAGCACAATCCGGCCAAACCCTTCTCCTTTATTGCCATAATCTCCTTCTCCGTCTCTTCCATTCTAGCCAACAGAAGCTTCTCCTGTCCTTCTAACCAGAGTTGTAGTTCTCTGAATTCAGCCACTACATTTTTTTTCTCTTTTTCGATGAGGTCCTAGAATAAGAAGACAGAAAGAGCAAAAGGCATATTTTTGTTTTATTTTTACTTAATTATATTTATTTTTATTATTATAATATTTAAACAGATTCCCTGAAGAGTCCTGAAATGAGATGGGAGAATTTCCTAGGGAGGAAAAAAAAACATTTTGACATCAACAAGCACAGGGGGAAAGGTTTCTAAAAACAAAAAAAGGCTCAAGTTAAACGATCTCTCATGAAAATTTTCTTGGCAATCAGGAATTTCAAAAAAGTAGACAGAAAAATGTTTGATTTCACATTTGTTTCAATAAGATGAAATATGGTCTCCCTTAATTTATATACAAACCAAACTCACTTTATAAAACATGGCCCATGTGATAGGTGCCCTTAACCCAACTGTGACCCATTCAGCCAATGGTGACATCCCAGTCAAAGATACAGATACAGGTAAGTTCTGTGCCCTAACACTGTCTTTAACTGGAATTTCATTTAAGTCAGAACTTGTACTTACAAACAGGCTGCCTATTATTAAAGATGGCGGGTGGTGTTCTTCTTCCCATTAGCTCAGAAGCTCCTCACTGTTGGATCAATACTTACAAGCATCTCCTGAACTCTTTGCTCTGTGTCTGTTTTGTATGTAGCTATTTTTTCTTTCTCCTCCTTCTGAGCCTTCAGGCAATCCCCAACCTTGATCTGAAGAGAAAATACAAGATTTGAGTTTCTTTAACGTAAAGAATTACATTTGAGGGAAAACCCAGTTAGAAGATATATACAGCCATTATAAATACATGCCAGTTGCCAAGTGTCCACATTTGGATCATGTAACCACAGGGATGGTCATATTTTCCATTGCCATCGTGACTTTGAACAGTCACTACACGAATGGCTCTAAATTGAGGACTACCTGTAATGGCAGGAAAGTGAGCTGCCTGAGTCTCCTGCTTGCAGTCACCTGAGAAGCATCACTGAGAAACAAAAGCTTGGGCTGAGATGGCTTTGGCCTGACCCACCAGGAGTGTTTTTCAGGGTCTGCACTCAAGACTTTGGAGGACTCTATGATGATCTTGCTCTATAGCAAATGTGGAAAGTGAGCTGGCAAAGGGTGTCTATTTCTCCCTACAGGCAATTTCCGTCGATAAGCAAGACAATTAAGTGAAATTTTGTCCCATTTTACAACCTTTCTTGCCACAGTTATTAAGTGAACCACTGCAGATGTTAAATCCATGCCAGTTGCCAAGCATCCGAATTTTGATCACTGACCACAGGGACGCTACAATGGTCATAAATGTGAAAAATTGTCATAAGTCACTTTTTTCAATGCTGTCACTAAATGAATGGTTGTGAGTCAAGGACTATGGTAAATCTGTCTTCAAAAAATTGGAGGCACACAGGGGGTGAAGATCTCACGCTGGAATTAGGGAAGTTTGTTAAAGAAATTGCCAAGGCAGAAAGTTGCAGATGGGTGTAATAAGACCAGTAACAAATGGTGGGCAGGACTGCCCAGCAAGAGAAATGTTACAACCAAGTTAGCAGGACTCTGTGAGAAGGATGCTAGCTAAGGCACGTAGACATAAACTTGGGTAACCTCTAGCTTATTATAATAATAAAACACACAACCCTTTTGATAAGAAAGCTTATTAGCATAAATATGCAATGTATGAAGTAGGGCAGGACAAGAAATCAAAAGAAACACATGTCAAGGAACCAATGAGTGATTAACTTCCTTAATCTATATAATATCACTAAACCAAATAAAACTTGATTTGGAAAAATTGAAAAATCTGCAATTGTAGATGTTAGGGAGAATTGCTATGATGAAAATGAATACGTATACCTATAAATCTATAGAGAATTTTTTTTTGAAGAGCTGAACTCCTTAATTTTAAAATTTATCTGGCAAGGAAAGAAAGCTAGAATTAAATTGAAAATGTTACAAGACACTAAGGGGAAATGGAGGTTTTGGTTTGCCAGACTGGGTTTTATATTATCAAGCATCGGTGTTAACATGGGTAAAAGAATGGATAACCCTCAGACATAAATGACTGTTGTACTTAGAGGGACATGACTTACACCTTGGTTGGCATGCTTTTTTATGGTATGGGAAAAATAAAATTCATAAACATTTTCAAAACCGCTATATTAGAAATGCATTATTACTAACATGGGAAAATAAAAACCAAAATATATTTGAAAATCCCAGGATGGCTATCAACAATGGAAGCATTTGTACACCCAAATCTAGTTAGCTTTGAGAAAATATGGACATATAAAGATATTCTAAACTCTGAAGGGAACTTAAAATCTAGACAAGAGATGGAAAATCAGGGTACTGATTTATCATTAGTGGTCATATTTACAGATACAAGTGAGATACGATAAAGATGTTAAATTATATGGATTCCATAAAGAGCAGATTTTGCTCAGATACTATTAACCTCTGATGAAAAACTAATTAAGAAAATGTATAATTTTCTATTAAATTTGAAAATAGAAGATGAACAAGTAAAAGAAACAAAGATAATGTGGGTAAAAAGTTTTGGATATAATATAGATTTAGAGAAATGACAAAGCCTGTGGAAAAGAAATTACAAACGGACAATGTCAATCTCTTATAAAAAAAAAAAAGTTATATAAAATGTTTTATAGATGGCACTTGCCACCAGCAAGATTAGCAAAAATGTTTAAAAATATGTCAGATAAATGTTGGAAATGTAATAAAAAACCAGGTAGTTATTATCATATATGGTGGACATGTGTTAAAGCAGACATGTCAAACTCGCAACGTGACACCCCTGTATTAAAGCAAAGAAATATTGGACAAAAATACATACTTGGTCAGAAAAGATGGTGGAAAAACATGTAGATTTTAAACCTGAACTTTTTAAATTAGGTATAATGCCAGAAAAGCTTGAAAAATGAAGTATATATCTGATTTTGCATGTGATAACAGCAGCAAGACTTACATTTGCACCATATTGGAAAACTGAAAAAATACCATCTGAATAAGAAATAATTTAAAAAATACTAGACTGTGCAGAAATGGACAGACTTACTTTGAGATTGAAAGAAAAAGAAGAAAAAGAATATTTTCAAACTTGGGATTTATTTTATCAATGGCCGGAGAAAGGAACTAGCGATTAGGAATTTAATTTGTATTAGTGAACGGTAAACCCAGACAACACGTTTGTTGAATAAGCACTACTGAATTGTATTAAAAAATCAATAAAAGCCGTAATCTCTCAACTTCCTTCATCTTAACTGTATCAAATTTGTATTTGTATATGGTTCGGGGGTCTTGCCTCCTTTAGCTTCTTAGAAGAGCCTTTTGCTGAAATACTTCAATAAAAGTTCCTCGAACTCCTGTCTGGTTCTGATTGGCATCTGCGCCAGGCTAAACCCGGTTTGCGGACAACAGAGGAAACAAGTAAAGTAGTTCAAGGATTGCCTGGAAGGCCCAGGATCTGGATGGCCCTCCGCAGGGATTCCCCTGGCAGATTCCTACCTGGTACTCCTGGAGAGCCTCCTCAGCACGGACTACCCAGTGTCGCCTGTGCTCTTCGAATTGGATGCAGTCCACGCAGATGAGGGTCTCGTGGTCCTTACAAAAGAGCATGAGGGGCTCCCGGTGCTTCGGGCAGAGGCTCCCTCCGTCCTCGCCCCAAGGGCTTCCGCATCGCCTGGCTATTTCCACCAGCCGCGCCAGCTGCCTGTTGGGCAGGACGTTGCGGGGCTTGAAGGTCTGTCTGCACTGGGGACAGGAAGCCTCCGATTCCGACGTCCCCCAACTGCGGGTCAGGCAGCCCCGGCAGAAGTTGTGGCCGCACTCCGGGATGAGCACGGGGTCCTGGAAATATTCCAGGCAGATGGAGCAGGTGGCTTCTTCCAGCAAATCCTCCATGGACGCTGCGGCCGCCATCGCTGCCTCCTCCGCCGAGAGAAGGAAAGAGAAAGTTAGTTTCTCGCCTTTTCCTGCAAATCAGGTGACCGCCTTTGGGCTCTGCCCAGAAGGGAAACCGAGATGAATTATGGTTGCGATTGCGGTCAGCTTCGCTGGCTTCTTAAAGGAAAAAGAGTGTTTTAAAAAGAACAAATTGGAGAGAATCAAATATTCTTGGGACTGAGCCCCCGATCAATTATTGATCCAAGCAATAATGCTAAATGGAAATATGTAGAAAAAAACCTGGGGAGAAAGAAACATCCATGGGACCTGTTGGACACAAAATAAAAGGTACAAATTAAAATTCACTCAGTTTAAGTTGCAAATAGAAAAGGAGTTGATTAACCTTAACAATAAAGTCTAAAAAATAACGGTTTGCAAAGCGTGGTGGATTCAGGAAGGCCAGTCGTGCAACATAGCCAAACACTGAACCACACTTGTGTTTCAGAATCACACATTATTATACATTCTATCACGACACCCCATTCCCTCCCCCATGACCCCATTGGCTTAGGCTTTGGAGGTTGCAATCTATCACAGTGTTTCTCAACCTTGACAATTTTAAGGCATGTGGACTTCAACTCCCAGAATTCCACAGCCAGCGTTGCTGGCTGTGGAATTCTGGGAGTTAAAGTCCACATGCCTTAAAATTGTCAAGGTTGAGAAACACTGATATCAGAAGTGCCTAATAAGAATACATTATCTCCGCCCCTGTTTGCTTACATTATACTAATAAGATCCCTCCTCTCCTCTCCTACTTATTAAGACCATATATGTACATGCCTATCAACCTTGGAGATAAGATGTGTCCACATGCCTATCAGAAAAACAATTCCTAGATGATGACTCATACCAGACCCCTTAGTTAGTAACTCCAGTTTCCCTCTCTCCTCATTTGAGACTTGCAATTTCCCAATATACATAAAGCATCTACTCAGGCAATTGATTATAAAATAATGATTATAGAATAACTAATAATGATTACATGATAATACTAAAATATATTTTGTTTTTAAACTTACTTGTTCCTTTCAGTTATTTTCCACACCCAAAAGGTTGGGGACCTCTGCTTTAACGAGAGCCTTCCAGCTGACTGTGGGAGAAACGGTAAATATTTACACAGGTAGCAAATATACCTTTGGAGTATCTTGCACGCCCGTGGAGCCTTATGGGAGAAAAGGGGATTATTGAATGCAAAAGGGTGAGCGATTAAGTATGGCTCACAAATTTTAGAATTGTTGGAGCCAGTTTGGCAGCCAAAACAAGTAGCAGTCATACATGACAAGGGGCATTCTAAGGAAGGCACCCTTTATGCAAATGGGAACTGGGCTGCAGATAGGACTGCTAAGGAAGCTGCCCTACGATGCTCAGAATTCACAGCCTCCCTAATTCCAATTTCTCCATCCACACCCACTTCCCCACCCTCTTATACACCCAAGGACAGGACACGGGCCATGTCAGTTGGAGACAGAAAGCAGAATGAAGGATGGCGGAGGGTAGAAGGCAAACATATTCTACCAAATACACCCCTAAGGATTCTTTTTATCCCAAATACATGATAGCACACATTTGGAGAGGGGGGGGGAAATACCTGCTAGACTTTGTGACATGCTATGCAGCAAGCAAAGGTCTCTATTCTGTTGCCTCCCAAACTGTAGCAGCTTTCCTGATCTGTGCCAGAAATAATCCAAAAGTGGCCAGACACCCACCCCTAGGAGCCCAACTTAAAGGCAACTACTCAGAGGCCATCTGGGAAAGAGATTTCATTGACTTACCTGGGAAACAAGATTTTAAGTAAGTTTTGATACTACTATGTACGTTCACAGGATGGCCTGAGGCTTTTGCTTGCAGGACTAATAAAGACTGTGAAGTAAAAGTCCTACAGTAAGAAATTATTCCTAGGTTTGGGCTGCCAAATAGTATGTCACCTGATTCTGGCACACATTACACAGCTAAGGTAGTGCAACAATTGTGTGGAACCGTTGTCTGCCATGATATTTTTTTTTCTTGCTAAATATTTGCAGGAAGCTGCACCTGTTGGATGAGACCAGCCTGGGTCTATGTGAAAGTGTAGATAAAACTTCTTCAAGTGCTACTATTCATCTACACCAGTGTTTCGGTCCAGAAATTGACTCCATCATTCCAGACTGAAGGCTGCAGATCCATGGGACTCTGTTTGGACTGGCTAAGCTATGACAGAGGTCTAAGGCAGACATGTCAAACACAAGGCCCGGGTGCCAGATGCGGCCCGTGGTTTCATGTGGCCCGCGAAGCCATCCTGGAAACACTTTCACATAGACCCAGGCTGGTCTCATCCAACAGGTGCACCTTCCTTTAAGTTGGGCTCCTAGGGGTGGGTGTCTGGCCACTTTTGGATTATTTCTGGCACAGATCAGGCAAGCTGCTACAGTTTGGGAGGCAACAGAATAGAGACCTTTGCTTGCTGCATAGCATGTCACAAAGTCTAGGAGGAGAGGAGGGATCTTATTAGTATAATGTAAGCAAACAGGGGCGGAGATAATGTATTCTTGTTAGGCGCTTCTGATAGATTGTAACCTCCAAAGCCTAAGCCAATGGGGCCATGGGGAAGGGAATGGGGTGTCGTGATAGAATGTATAATAATGTGTGATTCTGAAACATGAGTGTGGTTCAGTGTTTGGGTATGTTGCACGACTGGCCTTCCTGAATCCACCACGCTTTGCAAACCGTTATTTTTTAGACTTTATTTTTAAGGTTAATCAACTCCTTTTCTATTTGCAACTTAAACTGAGTGAATTTTAATTTGTACCTTTTATTTTGTGTCCAACAGGTTCCATGGATGTTTCTTTCTCCCCAGGTTTTTTTCTACATATTTCCATTTAGCATTATTGCTTGGATCAATAATTGATTGGGGGCTCAGTCCCAAGAATATTTGATTCTCTCCAATTTGTTCTTTTTAAAACACTCTTTTTCCTTTAAGAAGCCCGCAAAGCTGACCGCAACCGCAGCCATAATTCATCTCGGTTTCCCTTCTGGGCAGAGCCCAAAGGCGGTCACTTGATTTTCAAGAAAAGGCGCGAAACTAACTTTCTCTTTCCTTATCCCGGCGGATTAGGCAGCGATGGCGGCCGCAGCGTCCATGCAGGATTTCCTGGAAGAAGCCACCTGCTCCATCTGCCTGGACTATTTCCAGGACCCCGTGCTCATCCAGGAGTGCGACCACAACTTCTGCCAGGGCTGCCTGACCCGCAGTTGGGGGACGTCGGAATCGGAGGCTGGTGGAAGTGGCCAGGCGATGCGGAGGCCCTTGGGGCGAGGACGGAGGGAGCTTCTGCTCGAAGCACCGGGAGCCCCTCAAGCTCTTTTGTAAGCACCACGAGACCCTCATCTGCGTGGTCTGCGACCGATCCGAAGAGCACAGGGGCCACTCGGTGATCCCGGCAGAGGAGGCTTTCGAGAAGTACCAGGTAGGAATCCGCCAGGGGGAATCACTGCAGAGGGCCATCAAGATCCTTGGCCTTCCAGGCAATCTTTACTTGTTTCCTCTAATGTCCGCAAACCGGGTTTAGCCTGGCGCAGATGCCAATCAGAACCAGGCAGGAGTTCCAGGAACTTTTATTGAAGTATTTCAGCAAAAGGCTCTAAGAAGCTAAAGGAGCCAAGACCCCCGAAGCATATACAAATGCAAATTTGATACAGTTAAGATGAAGGAAGTTGAGAGAGTATGGCTTTTATTGCTTTTTTAATATAATTCAATAGTGCTTATTCAACAAACGTGTTGTCTGGGTTTATCATTCACTAATACAAATTAAATTCCTAATTGCTCGTTCGTTTCTCCGGCCATTGATAAAATAAGTCCCAAGTTTGAAAATATTCTTTTTCTTTTTCTTTCAATCTCAAAGTAAGTCTGTCCATTTCTGCACAGTCTAGTATTTTTTAAATTATTTCTTATTCAGATGGTATTTCTTCATTTTTCCAATATTGTGCAAATATAAGTCTTGCTGCTGTTATCACATGCAAAATCAGATATATACTTCGTTTTTCAAGCTTTTCTGGCATTATACCTAATTTAAAAAGTTCAGGTTTAAAATCTACATGTTTTCCCAGCATCTTTTCTGACCAAGTATGTGTTTTTGTCCAATATTTCTTTGCTTTAATACAGGGGTGTCACGTAGCGAGTTTGACATGTCTGCTTTAACACATGTCCACCATACATGATAATAACTACCTGGTTTTTTATTACATTTCCAACATTTATCTGACATATTTTTAAACATTTTTGCTAATCTTGCTGGTGGCAAGTGCCATCTATAAAACATTCTATATAAGTTTTTTTTATAAGAGGTTGACATTGTCAGTTTGTAATTTCTTTCCCACAGGCTTTGCCATTTCTCTAAATCTATATTATATCCAAAACTTTTTACCCATATTATCATTGTTTCTTTTACTTGTTCATCTTCTATTTTCAAATTTAATAGAAAATTATACATTTTCTTAATTAGTTTTTCATCAGAGGTTAATAGTATCTGATTAAACAAAGTCTGCTCTTTATAGAATCCATACAATTTAACATCTTTATCATATCTCACTTGTATCTGTAAATATGACCTTCTTCTTCTTGTGCCATATCCGTTATTGGACGTTGGCGATCATGTTGGCGATCCTGTTTTTATCAGCAGTGGCACTATAAAGTGCTGCTGAGTTTTGTCCAAACCAGTCCCTTAGATTTTGAAGCCACAATGTTCTTCTGCCTGGACCTCGTTTGTCTTCAATCTTTCCCTGGAGGATTAAATGGAGTATGCCGTATTTTTCTGGGGTAAATATGACCACTAATGATAAATCAGTACCCTGATTTTCCATCTCTTGTCTAGATTTTAAGTTGCCTTCAGAGTGTAGAATATCTTTATATGTCCATATTTTCTCAAAGCTAACTAGATTTGGGTGTACAAATGCTTCCATTGTTGACAGCCATCCTGGGATTTTCAAATATATTTTGGTTTTTATTTTCCCATGTTAATA